TTCAAGATTCCGAGAAAAAAAAATCAGCGTAGCTAATATTGAGTTGATGAACTTCTTCCAAGCCGTAGATTAGGTGCTCGACGTTCTGTCACCATAGTGTGCGTAGTACTGCAGTTCTTTTTTATTGCATTGCTTAACTGCTGGTGCAAATAAACCTCGAGAAGACTGCGCAACACTGTCATCAAGATAAACGTTGCCGCTGGTCCGGAAAATCTGCACACATCCACAAGACAACGATCCACAGAATGCTGGCCCGCTGAGCTGCGTCAATATGCAATCACTATGCGCCAGTAGGGCGTACATGAGAAAAAAAAAAAGGAAATTTGCCGTGAACTCCACATAACAAGCCACCCCACGTCACACGCGTGGTACACGTCACGCGGAACGAAGCTTTCTTTGGCCGCTTCGAACGCGCCGACTTTCTTTGTGCCGACGTTGCGGCACTGTAAATAGCGTAGCTCGGTATACACGCGACGGTAAAGGAAGCGGAGTGAAGCTTTTTACTTGATTGTTCGAGCCGAGCCGGGGCGCGCTCGGTGAACGTTGCTTCGTGTCTGGGGGCGGGTTCGACCCGTTTTCTCCGGCCAACACACTCGGATTTTCCCAAGTGCAGGTCAAACGATCTTCCCTGCAATCTACACCACCGAGAAAACAAAAATTCGCCTTGTTGCCTTGCAGCTTCATGAGACGTGACAGCCGTTATAAAGAAAGCAAGTTTTAATCAATCGTTGCCCCCACTTGATGGTGTTACGCCGTTTGCCGCAGTTCTCCTTGTGTCACCGTATTGCACGCTCACTTTTTCTCATACCGGCGCATTCGAGTTGACTGGGCATTCGGAACACGTCACTCGTAACAGGCGTGACTATGGAACGGCAACTGTGGGCTTATTACATTTCTCGTTCAGTCACGCAATGTTATAATTAGGCTTTCTCGTCTCATCGTTCTTCCTTGAGCAGTAAGCAGCGAGGGTCGGGCGAATTGCCACTGGCGCGGACCACAGTGGCAACCGCAACGTCGCACGGTCTACCCTAATGTCGTGTACGCCACTAATTTCGTGTTGTCACGCTACGCAGGGTCATTCTTCTTTGAAGCGCGCTGATGCATTTCAAGGGATGAAAATAAGAAGCCTGTGTGTCCATACGACACCAATAAAAGGAAATCGTTCAAGATTATGAAAGTTACACGTGTCTATGAGCATAGAACGCCGTAAGTCACAAGATATTGAATAATATTCACTACCACCACGTGCAGACACCTTCGCGGTTATCACGTATTAATCAGCTCTTTAATGAGTTTATATGCAATTCCGATACAAAAATACAGCGAACACATCCTGCTTTGAGTGACCATTCGAGCTTTCATTTTTCAAGCACGAAAAAAACAAACATGCCTAGCGCTATTTTTACGGTAAGCAAAACGCTTCACAAATCCATTCTGGCTGGTCTGTTTCCAAGTGATGTCGAGTTAATCTGAGTGAAACCAGACCATACATTTAGATTTCATGCAATTCGAAACACACTAACTTTGCGTTTCCGTTCACGACACTCGAAATAACCGTCAATCTTTCAGAGCGCTGTAGCATGCTGCCAACCGTTTGTTTCATCATGCTGAGGAATACGCATGCACGGAAACACACCCAAACACGAGCACACAGCACAGCGTTGGTCAAATTGAGGTATATCTGGTGGTACTAATTCACTGAAATTGGCCACTCATGTTCCGTGTCGTGTTACTATTCAGGGAACGTCGAGAAAACACTAAGGTAAATTCTGGGCCTCACTCGTGGTCACGGCAGCATAGAAACTTATCTCGATTGGGTATGGGTGGAAGAAACACTCTGCCAAAGAGCACGGCCTCCATTGGGCGTGTATGTGTGCATTATAAATAGCCAGAGGCCGACTCGCGGGCTCTGCCCTCAGTGCACGCGGTGTACTGTATGGCCCTAAAGCCAGGAGACCGAGAGGCCAGGGATGTGGCCAGCAGGGCGTCTCGGTCACCATGGTTACAGGCCGCGACGCCAGGTAAGGCCACCGGAGTTAGCGCGAGAATAGTTGACGGTGGCGCCCAAGGTCGGGCGGACTGACCTCCGTCGGCGTACGTCTCGGACCCGTAGCCGTCCTGGAGGCCGTTGGCCCAGGTGCCCTCGTACTTGGCGCCGGAGATGAGCGACTGGCGCACGCCGTAGCGGCCCTTGAAGCCCTGCGTCCACTCGCCGCGGTAGCGCCAGCGGCCGCGCGTTTCGACGCCCAAGCCGTGGCGCTTGCCGTTTTGCCACTGACCCTCGTAGCCACTGCCTGAGGGCCACGTGTAGACGCCGGACACCCGAAGCCGTAGTGCCATGAGCCGCAGTACTCGCCCTGGCCCTTGGGGCCCGTGCAGACGCCGTGACCGTGCGCCTTGCCGTCCTCCCAGCCGCCGCAGTAGGTGCCGCCATCGTCGAAGTCGAAGCGGCCGCCGCTCATCCTCCTCGCTCTAGCAGGGCACGGCCGTCGCCACCGGCGACATCTCCCCGGTCGCCGTCGTGCTCCCACTGGTTCGGGGTCGTTCGAAGGACAGATCGGGCGGCTTCGCAGTCTTCGCGGCCGCCCCCCGTGCGAGACGCGCGCCGATCCCCGCTCCGCCGCGCGAGCGCCAGCGCCTCTCTCGGAACACGCCCTCGCGCGGTTTGCCCACGACGCCGAGGCCCCAGCGCCGCCGCTCGGCGCGCGCCGCCAACGCCGCTTCCCCCGGCGCGGTGTGCGAGTGAGGTTTACTCTGCGCGGCAACCATGTGCAGCAGTGAAGACCCACGCAGTCTACGAATGGAAGGGTTTCGAAATTAAACTTTGACATTGAAAAAAAAAAAAAGCCTGCACTGCGTCGGTGTACCTAGCATGAATCAACTAACGAAGTGTAATAAGCGGCTGCGGGCTAGTGTCTGGGACTACTACGTAAAGGTTTTCCAGCGTCAGTTTTTAGTTTTGCTACCATGCCCGTTATAACTTCTTTTTACCAGTAATTTTGACAGAACTTGTGCGTATAAAGTCTGTGATTCTTTCACATTCTGTATCACTTAAAAAGTTCATATAGAAGCATGCATAAAGAACTAAGCTTTTGGCCTGGACAAATTCTCTGTTTAAGGTGGCATACCTGTTTTTACAAGCCGGTTGACACACTTGCCTTTCCCGTCCTCCCTGTTTTCTTATTCATCAGAGAACACACAATTGCAAAGAAGGAAAAAAATACGTGCAGTTATGTTGCTCATGCTGCGAACCAGTTCAGACAGCTGTGCACACGCATCTTGATTGTACCTCTTTCCTTGCCCATACTCCTATCAGAAATATCGGCTACGTGTCCCCTTGGCCAAACCCTTTCGCCCCTGCCCTCTATATGCGACAGCGGTGCTATAATAAACGTTGTTCCACCACCAGCTAGCACGTCGTTTGTGCTGCTGCCTGTCCCAGCCGGATACTAAAAAGTAGATATAAAAAGCTCCATCGAATTGGAATCCTAATCAGGGCTTCACATTAATTTAGATTACACGATAAACTGCACAGAAAATCCCAGTGTCAAAATAGCTATAGCTGCTTCAGAAATCTGTGCAGTGATACATAGAAGAAAACTTTACTTTCATAAGAAGAAGAAACTGACAGAAAGTAGGCCCCCTTCCCTGGAAGAATCTAATTGAAGCAGTGCATGGCAATTATGTTCTTGTATAAGCAAGAATTGTGCCTTGAAATACAATAAACTACTGCAACGATAAAAATGGTGTGTGACGTCACATGTCTGGGTCTCGCTCTTGATCACGGCAGCATAGAAACTTATTTTAATCGCATAACTACAGCCGTCATTGGTTGAAAGCTAGTCAGCAAGATGGAAACGACTGGCTGCAACCATGCGCTTTTTGCCAAATCTCGTTACGGGCGTACACGCTGCCGAGTTTCGACGCTGTAAAGATTCTCTTAAGTGCGCTTGGCCGGCTGTCATTAATCACGAAGAGTGCGCAGTCGAGCGCAATTCCCTGCGTTTGTGTTTTCTTTTTTCGACGACAATTACGTGTCTTCCGGAATCAGGCCGAATGAGCACGAACCTGCGTGAATTCACGATGCTCTTAGTCGTACAGATGTTTCACAAAAGTTCACTTTAAAAACGTGCATGACCGAAACAGCAGTAAAGAATTAGTCGATAGCGAAAGGTGCCGGGCACTGAAAAACAGCTTTTGTGGGGGGGAAGCTTTTTACCCATTCATCGCAGGATTCTTAAAACAACCCTCTAACAATGGCAGCCATTGGCCACCGTGGTGGCGCCATGGTTCATAGTGTCAGTTGCTATGAACAAATTCGCCCTTTCAATTGTTGCGGCCGCATTCTGAGTGAGATGCAATGAAAAAAATTCAGTGCACCACGCTGCTGAAAGCAAGTGGAAGCAGAGTAAGTTTAAAATTGGAATAGTATATCCAGGGATAAATACCATAATATTTTAAAGTTGAAAAATCGCCAGATCCCACATACTGTGGGAATCGATGATATGTGAAGCACGAATGAGGAAGCGTGATATGTCACTTTAAAATCCTCACAACATTACGGACGGACGTAAATTGTGCCGTACGTGACTTCCATGTCGTGATTATCATGTTTGAACGTGTCACTACATTCGTCGCTTATCACGTCCCGTGATACCACGCTTGGTATTGTTAAGCTAGCAAAACGGCCGTGAGCAGGCTATGTGCGTAGCAGTAGGCACGTTTTACATGACACGCATGTCATGATTATCATGTTTGGACTTGTTGTTTACCTTCGTCATCCATTCACGTCACGTAATACCAATTAGGTATAGGTAGAGCTAGCAAAACGGCTGCGAGCACGCTATGAGCGTAGCCTGTAGTCATGTTTTACATGATACAAGTTTCATTCGAGGTCCGCGAAGTACAGGCGCGTAGTAAAACCTTGTACATTGGTGTATGTAAAAATAAACTACCGATGGTATAGGCGCGCGATTGGCGTTTCGTTCTACACGGGTGTAGCAGTGTTTTACAAGGCAGCTGATTTCTCACACTTAGAAAGGAGAGAAAAAAGTTACCAGCAAGAGAGTAATGCATAACATGGTTCTCACGTGCAGCACCAAGCTTACACACTCTGAAACACACAGGCTGGTTCTTTATAGCAAATAATATTATAAAGATGCACCTAATATTGTCTTTTGTCGTTGCCGTTACCAACCGTCATGAATGCGCTGGCGCGGACTCCAGTAAGTTTACTGAAAGCGACTTCAGACAACTGACAGTGCTTCCCCGCCGGTTACTGTGAATGTCTAACGACACGACAGTGCACAACCACCCCACTTCAATACTGATCGCCTGTCTTATGGTCTTTATTGTTATACACATCTTTGTCATTGTCCCACCTGCCTTGTATAGGGTTCACTGGCCTCGTCAAGCTGTCCATAAACAGCTTTAGCCAGTGAACCTCTCCAGAACCTGTTTCCTTTCTGGGAAATGATTGATTTGATTTGATTATTTACTTTCTATCATGACAGAACAAAGAAAGGTAAATTCAGCCTTCACTCATTCTCATCTAACGTTAGAATAACGAATACTGCCGTATTTTTGTTCTGCTGTCGCAATATCACCTCACCGATACGGATGGCACCACAATGAAAAATGTCGTTTTCCACCCGAAAATTTACGCCCACAACACTACAAAGCGTCGATCATGTGGATGAAATGAATGGGCCAGTGGAGGGAAGGGTGGGGGTGATTTTGCTATGAAGTGAAAATGGTCAGTCTGTATCAAGTGTTACCTTGCGTAGGTCTCATTCCAACAGAAAACAACTTATACGCACGGCTTTGGTTAGTGAGTAATCCCAAACTTCCGTTTATCATGTTGCGTATACCAGCACCACACTGGAGGTTCAGTTAATAATTTGTGTGGCTCAAATGGTACAAGCCTACAACACGTTGCTGAACAATAACCAGCGAGTGTAATGAATCAGGAGATGCTGCTGCTTTGTTCGTCATGCCTTGCGGTCAGCCTCTGTGAGCACACAGACCTCTGGTGTTTCAGAGTCTTGTGAAAACTTATTGCATGCAAGCTTCAATGCCTTTCATACATCATAATCAAATTCGATACATTAGTTTTAAAAGTGATTTTTCGTTTCCAAGTGCATGAAGAAGAATGCGCATGCACTCAGTGGTCCCTTAAAAAATCCCTGCTAGTGAAAATGATCGAGTCTGCTACCATGGCGCGCCACAAAATCATGTAGTTTGCTGTGTCAAAACCCCTAGAATATTACATAGTAATAAACAGCCTTTCCTTCAAGCACCTTACGAAACATGTGGGAAAAAAAAGGCTTTTCTTTCTCGTTAATATTCCGCAAGTATATTACCCAGACTTCGTATCGTTGAGCTGCATGTCGACGTAGTAACAAGCCGACATCAGATGGGTGAAAGAAACAACAATTTTTATTTGAGGCTCCATTATGCAGGGTGTCCCAATAACTTGATTGATATGTGAGGTTTAACGTCCCAAACCACCATTTGATTATGAGAGACGCCGTAGTGGAGGGCTCCGGAAATTTCGACCACCTGGGGTTCTTTAACGTGCACCCAATCTGAGTACACGGGCCTGCAACATTTCCGCCTCCATCGGAAATGCAGCCGCCGCAGCCGGGAATCGAACCCGCTACCTGCGGGTCCAGCAGCCGAGTACCTTAGCCCACTAGACCACCGCGGCGGGCTGTCCCACATAACTTGAGTACAGAATTTAAAACCGAAACACACTTCAGTGGCGAATTGAACCGAACGCGTACTACTCGCACTAGCCTGTAGGTAATCAGGCAATTTTTTTTTTATTTCTCTACTACTAATAATAATTATTCCAATTACCTTTTTCTAATTATGGGCTGGAAACCCAAATATGAACACTGAAGTGTAAAGCACTTTCAGAAACCACCGACAAAACTGTTCTCTGTACGATACGTCCAGCGCTGTATTTTTTCCGCGTTGTAAAGAAAGCCTATAGGACACTATAGCAGTGCGCACGCGGTCTGTCACACGGCTTCCTTTCACGTTTTGCGGGCTTTCTTTACAACGTGGAAAAAATACCAGCGCGCGACGTATCGTATAGGAAAATATTTAGTCGGCGATTTCTGAAAATGCTCTACACTTCAGTGTTCATATTTCGGGTTTCCAGCCCATAACTAAAAATAAAAAAATTAAGAATTGTTATTTACTAATATGGAGAGAAATAAAAAATAGCCTGAGTACCTAGAGGCTAGTGCGAGTTATACGGGTTCGGTTCAATTCGCCTCCAAAGTGCCTTTCACTTTGAAATAATTGGCTCAATTTATGTGAACACCCTGTGTAGGCAAGCCAAACACATTGTGCCGAAAAGAGAAAGGCATATCTTGCACTGGAGTAACTAAAATACATGACGCTTCGGCGCTTGTTTTATCACATGCCGATACAACCTTCTTCTGAAACCAAAAAAAAAGCGGAAAAAAAGTATCATAATACGAACAATGTTCATGGCACTTGGTGGAAGTTACTGTCGTATCGTAGCGCATGGGAGTTCGGCGTTGTTTAGCCGATCTTCAAGGAAGAA